AACGTCTTAAGTCTCAGTCCCTATAGAGAAACAATCCAAAAATCATCACCTTAACTCCGGATTTTTTTTTACATTAGCCTCCAAAGCATCCAATTAAAATACATTACAGGTGCCACCCAAAAATGCAGCCAAACTCAAAACTGTGTCCGAAACCAAAGTAATAAAGATGCAACACAGTAAGTATATATACATATGGGGTGGGGTGGAGAGTGGGCAGTAAGGAAATAGGGGTGAAGGGCTGTATTGACAAGACCAATATTACAAAATATTCAAGAAGGCATCTCAGTTAATTTCTCTGTCCGACTGCACTGCCCTGTCCTCCGGGCCGAGATGTCTGTTCCCTTTTCCTCCGGGCAGTTCATCCCATCATCAGATCAAGTTGTGATCAGTCTGCTATTTTTCGTTGTTTTGAATCCATCAGATGGAAATATGGAGTTTTCTGCTTGGTAGTGTATGTGGGTGTCGGTTCTGGTGCCGGGTTCTGATCCATTTCTCCATGCTTCCATAGAACGTCCCTACTTGAAGTTGGCGTAGTCAGAGAAGGCATCAATATACTCCTGGACCACTTTGTAGCAGAATTCGTACTGCTCCTGAGGAGCGAGGGATGAGAGAAACAGCAACGTTAGCTGGGCATAAACCACAACAATCAATGATGGGCAGTGACAGTTACTAACACTTTGTTTTGCATGTTCAAGAGAAACACATTAGAATATACAGTCAAAGATTATTGTACTTGTAAACATTTACAAACATTTATATAATATCATTTGGGTTTCTGACCTAGACTGCAGCCAACCACCAGGGGGCGATCGATATGCATTGGCTTCACATTTGGGGGGGCTGTTGTGTTGTCTAACTTAAACGGTCTATGTGGTAACATTCTTTAACTTGTAGCTGGGGCTGGTAGCTGCTTAGCTTAGCACTAAGACTGGAAACAGGGAAAGACCACCAGCCTATCGATGTCCACAGACAACAGAATGTTCCAGCAGCAACTTGAGGTGGGCTGGATGGAACTTTTACCAGGTTAGGACCGATAATCTCTGCTGGTTGCCTGGCAACTGGTATCAACGTATAACATGATAATTATTATAACTGCTGGAAGGCGGACTTGCTTTAGTCTCTTTTATTGCTCATTGGCTAGAGCCCAACTTTATTTCCCATATTAGTGGCATCAGCTAATTTGTTCAGATGTGCTGACAGATACACAACCAGCAAAAGAAATATATTCTTAGCAGTGTTAAAAAATCAGGCTGTTTGCTTTCTTTATTAAGAAGGTGGAGTTTTAAAAAGAGATCTTTTAGCTAGCTGGTTAAGTCGTTTTTTTCACTGATTAGAAATTCAGAGTCCTCACCAGTGTCTGCACCATGTGGGGTCTCTGCAGTCTGAGGCTCTTAACTGTCTGGAAGACATCCAGGATGCCCTCTGCCTTCACCCTCTCCAGGACTGTACTCAACGCACAGAAAGTCCCTGTCCGGCCGGCACCAGCACTGTAAACACACATGCGAGCAAAATGTAAACTTCAGCATACACACAGAGCAGTAACCTCGTGCAAAACGAACACACACTGCTTTGTTGTGAGCGTACATGTTAGGGACGAGGCATAGCAACAGGTCAACAGGGGGCAGTTAAAATGTCACAAGGAAGACGAGAACAATTCTTCTGAGATGTTTTTTCCTGTGATTTCATAGCTGTGGCAATTTCCCGGACACACACCTGCACAACGGATCGCCAGAAGCATTTTCACGTGCAACAATACAAAAAAATACATATTTATATTTTCTTACACTGGTACACAAAGTTTAAATAAGGTGTCTTACTCAGTGAAGCTGTGTGTGTGTGTGTGTGTGTGTGTGTGTGTGTGTGTGTGTGTGTGTGTTACCTGCAGTGTACAGTGATGGGATGGTTGCCAGACTGCTGCTGTTGCTTCTGCACCGCAGCAATTATATTGATCATGCCTTTTCCGTCAGTGGGGATGCCCACTTCTGGCCAGCCATGGAAATGGAACTGACGCACCGCTCGAGCCTTGTTCTCCTGAAAATATGGAGGATGCCCAAAAAAATGTTTTATAGTTATTCCTTCACAGTTTACTGTTGATATATGATCAGTATAGGCTCATTTTCACTTTGTTGTGTTGTGTTAGAACCTGTATTATGAGTCTGCTCGTCTCTTACCCTGTTGTTGGTGACCAGGAGGTCACGCACCGTGTAGCTCTCGCTCTCCTCCTCCCTTTTCAGCTCGATGGAAATGTCCCCATAGACCATTACTCCATCACTGGGCCAATACTGAGCACACTTCTCCTGTGGGACACAAGATGGAGATGGTCAAATAATGACAGCTGAACATTTCAGGGAAATCTTTAGATATCTATTTGTGTGTATGCAAGATGTTTAGTTTGCCAGATTCATTCAATCATAAATTAAATGAACAAAGAAGGAAACTCAGATCAAACCCCTTTTACACCAAAGTTAGTGGGGATACACAGGTAACCCCACCATATAGAGCGATTGACTCATTTCTAATTGCTAGTGAAGCCTCATGAAGAGACTGTTTGTATGATATTACAGTGCAGGACCAGTAGAGGGCTCCAGCACTTATTTACATAATGAGGATTAGATCGGCTCCAGGAGTATATGACCATAGCCATGTGAGGCTGTATCCTCATGTTGGTCATGTTGACCTGTTGCACAGTGGTTTCTGCATCAAAGCCAGTTCCATAGAAGTTGAAGTCTTTACATCTGATGATTGATATCTGAAGATATCACAAAAAGTAAGTTTTTCTGGGTTTTTTCTTTCTTGCCAGTTTTGCATTTTGTACGATATGAAGAAAAAGAAATCACTGTTCACAGAAATCACTGCTATTCACCCAACGCCCAGAAGTTAGTTTAATGCACAAAATATTGTCATTGCAGACAAAAGCCAGATGTAAGTGGGTGAGTGGATTTTTTGATTAGTCTGACACTCTGTTGTAGAATTGAATGAAGTGTGTCTCTCCATGAATTAAGAGAACATAACATTGTTCTCTTAAAGAAGACAAGTCCTTGTAATTTGACTGTGTAAATCCTGGACCCACACACATACCTGCCCTCTCTCCTCCAGCTCAGTGAGCATGACTATGGAGCAACTTCTCCACTCCCAGATCATCCTCCAGAAGTCCTCGGTGGTGTGCTGCAGGGGGCCCTGGCTCGCCATGTACGAGTCCTTCTGACGGTAGCCCTGTGCGAAAATGAGGGAGGATGTATGTTACAAAATAAAAAGTGAGAGGGACAGAGGAAGACTTACAACATCTTATCGATTGCTAGCATTAATGAATCAAACCACTCAAATGCTTTTACACTCACATCAATGAATGATGCATTGACGTAGTCTGTGTTCTCCTCCCCTCGTTTGACTGGAATGATCACTCTGTTGAACTCATCTGTCAGGAGCAAAGAGAAACACTACCCTTGACAGAAGGAAAGCTTGAGGAGCAGACACAAGGTCTATAAGTCCATCATTTAATTATGTGCATCACGGCATTCGTGACTGTCTGTATAAACCATCGACACACATCCACATATGCATGACTCACATGGAATGATCTGCAGGACTCTGTTCTTCTTCATGTTGGCTGGCAAGTTGCCTGTCCTCATCTTGTCGTTCTGGATCTTGATAGATGTCAGTTTCTAGAAGTAATGTGTTTAGATATGAATACACTTTTTAAAAACAGTGACGCATTCCTACTGCAGTGAAACAGTTTGATGCAAGGGTATGATGCCTGAGGAGTTGCAGAGAATAACAATACAAACAAACAGACCTTGAATTCAGCCTCCAGACCACTGCAGCCAGCTCCAGGTGAGGGGGTGTAAAGTTTGGCCAAGTGAGACTCCAGAGACGTAACCTCCAGCTCTGTGTCTCCGTACAGGTAGTGCTCTAACAATGCCTGGAAGATGAACACGTACTGCATCTGTGGGAGAGAGGGAAAAAGTATAGTGAAGTGGAAGTCAAAAAAATCATTGCAATGAAAACTTTGCTTTATTGTGATATATTTTCAGCAGTGAGGCCCGGGTGGAGTGTGTCAACATCGAACTTACATCTGTCTGGACCATCTGACAGCGCTGGGCTCTGATCCTGGTGACGAAACCAAACACGTCCACCTTCCTCTCAGCGATCATCATGTCCAACATGGCATCGATCACAATAAAGGTACCTGTCCTCCCAACACCCGCACTGACAGGACAGAAATATAGTTCTTGTAAGTTGTGTGGCATTCAGACAAAGACGCAAGATGAACAGGTAAAAATCTATGATCCACTCACCTACAATGGACCACAATGGGCCCGGCGTACTGGGGGTTGCAGTTCTTGACTTTCTTGAGGAACTTGAGCATGCCAATGGGGGTGAAGGGCACCCCAAAGTCTGGCCAGCTTGTGAAATGGAACTGGGTGACAAGCCTCTGAGGCTTCTTCCCAGACACATCTCCTACCTGCAACAAAAACAAGCCAGGTCATAGACCAGGCCACAAGGGTTTTCATTTATGTCACTAGAACTAAAATGTTAAAAAAATGGAAGCACTAGATAAACACTACAAGCTACACAGGAATTTTGTCAGTGGTGTTGCATCATGGGAAGAATGCCATCACTACAACAAAGGGAGAGTTGGAAATGATTATGGATTGTACATTTCCCCCTGTAAGACATTGGATATTAATCTCATGCTTAGAAATACATTTGTAGCAATTTTAGCATGTTCCTGTATCAACAAGAGGTGTATTGTACCTGCTGGATGCAGAACTTGCGGATGGTGTAGTCCACCAAAACCATTGAGTCTTCTACAGATACACGGATATTCCCGTATGTCCAACAGCCCTGGTCCGGCCAGTACTGGGCACACTTACACTGAAAAACAAAGATTTAACGTACAATTAACAACAATATACTGTGCCACATCTTAGACAGAATGAGTAGAGTCAAAACAAGTTGTGCTGTCCCTGGGCCTCTCGGAGTGGATGGATGTTTAAAAAGTGCACTCTTTAACTAACAGCTGTGTGTGTATACAACTAAAGCACACATTTCCTTTATTGGTGTAAAGGACCAGGGTTGATCCATGAGGCACACGGATCGACCCCCACCCATATGCAGTTAAATTAAAGCAGTGAAGTTTTTACATGAGACAAGCAGTAGTGTGTTCACGTGAAAAGCACATGTGGCTGCAGGTGAGTGGCCGGCTAAATGACAGTATAGTTATTTAGATATACCTGATAACTGAAATCTCATCATTTCCCTACATGCCACTGTTCTGTTTTATAATGTTAATAGTCTTTTCTTATTACTTAAAATTGGGTATCGACAATCTTGGAAATGTTATTGTATCGATACTGACTACTAAACTTTTGGTATCTCGACACATTTTACGCAACTGGCACGTAGGACGACTGTTTTTTACAAATTTGATTCACTCGAGGGCAGTTGCAGAGCAGCGCCTTTACATGCATGGAGTTCCTTCTCACACACAACCGAGCAGTGTGGACAGTAAAAACTTAAATGATGATAGTGCAAGTTTGAGAGAGAGACAGAGCGATGAAGCAAGCACGAGGTAAATAGCTTTACAGATAAATCAATGGAGCTCTTTTGTGTTATTATGAAAAGTTTTAAACTGTGGTGGGATTCGATGAAACCACGAGTTTTGTGCTCTGCTGCACCCCTGGTGTACTTTAAAGCTGTTGTATGATGTTATTAAGAACAGCATACAAACACAAACATCATCATTAGGCCTCCTCTTACCTCTTTTCTCTCCTTCAGGTTGGTCACCATGACAATGGTCGCTGTGTTCTGCTCCCAGATCATTCGCCAGTAGTCATTGACCGTCTCCTCCTTTGGCCCTGAGTGCCCAAGACACATCAACAAAACAGACAAGTAGTTAAGTATGTTTGTATATTACATGATCCACAGAGCACCTCATTCTCTGCTCCACTGCCAACACACACACACACACACAC